AGTAACAATAATAAGAACAAAATATAAATATATTATTTTTTCAAAGAATTAAAGTCAAAATTTTATTATTTATTGTATACTTAATTCAAAGAATAAATTTACTGATGAGAAAGAACATGTCGACTATATATTAGAACATTTAAATTTATTTAAGTGTTTTAGAATTTTTTTCAATATTTTTCTCACTCTTAACATATTTACGAAATTTCTAGAATGATTACAAACTTGATGACCAAGACCTAGAGAAGAAGCTTACGCTGTCATGTTCTTGACCTCGTAGTTTTTTGTTTTTATTTCTTTTTAATCTTTTATTTACTATCTACCATCAGTTTTAAACGTCTGTTCTTTGTAAAAATAATTAATTTATTATTTTCAAAGTTGAAAATAATATTATTTTTAATTGTACGCTTAATTTAATTAATATCAAAAGAAAAAAGTTAATTATGATAATAAAGGGGAAAATGTAAAAATACATAAATACACAATAAAATTAGAAAATTTAAATGGCCTTAAAAGAATAAAATTTAAAGTAGCTTTGAAATAATGGATTAATTTAAAATTTAAAAAACAATTTAATGATGTTACACTTCAATGTAATTGTAGCATTAGCCTTCAATGCTAGCTTTATTCGCTTTTTATTACGTAGACGTTAAAGTAAGTCTAAATATTTTATGAAAGATATCTAAGATCTAATTATGGATATTTTTGAAATGCCTTTTTTTCTGCACAATTAAATCAAATTTTTTATCAATTAAAATGAAATTTTATTAAACTAATTTGTAGAAATATTTTGTATTATTTTATTTTGGTGTTTCAAGAATTCTCTTAAACAAAGTATTAATAAATTAAAAAAAATATGGTGCATATTTTATTTTTATTAAGTTGAAACAAGTATCACCCAATATAAATACAATATAAAAGTTGATGAATAATGATGGGCCTAAAATCTCTTCTGTATTGTATATATATTTTTTATATGATGAAAAACATGTTGATTATTTTCTAATGATAAAAGGATAAACTAAAAAGAAATTTTAAAATTTCAAGATCATCGATAAATTTTTATAATGATTCTTTTAAGTGATTTATTTTAACTAAATAATATATTTTATCAATGAATTTTAAAATTTTATCATTAATAAATATCTTTTCAGTAACAAATTCGTTAATAATTTTAGATTTTTATTATTAATTTAGTAAATTGTCAATAAAATGAATGTGAAAGTTTTTATTTTGATCATTTTATGATAAAATTTATTAATAAATCATAGTAATTGATTTTTTTTAATCTATCAATGAATCTTTTTGAAAATTCTTCATGAAGTATTTTATTTTATAATTTATTGGTAAATTTGTTGATAGTTATTTTTTTAAAATTATTTTGATAATTGTATTTTTTAAAATTTGGTCAATAAAAGAGGTGCTAAATTTTCCACCAAATTCAAAAATACATTTCTTATAAAGTAGTATGGGTGAGAAAAATAAGAGAATTAAGAAGAACCAAAAACAATATGATGGGTCAAAAAAAGAAATAAATTTGAAGAGACGGCCGTAAGAGAAGATTCGATAATGGTAAATGGCGGTAAAATCTATAAAATAGATATAGAGTTTATAAGTGTTTTAAATAAAGAGATAGAATATTTTAATGTTAAAATAATTCAATAATATAAATAGAACTTTTTAATTTCGTCTTATTATCTAAAACACTCGTCATCTTTCTAGAACCCTTTCTTCGAGTTTCCTTTTCCTTTCAAAACAAATTTTATTACGAAGCGTCTGAGAGATCACAACAGCGTAATTTCTATTATCATAATCATACGATTATTTCTTTCTTGAGCAAGTAAATTTTTGACTCTCTTTTTCTTTTCGCTCTTAGTCTAAGCCATGCTTAAAAACCTTATACCCATTTTTCTCGCAAAACTTCATAAAGTTTTCTGATGTGAACTCCCCTCCTAGGTCAGATCAAACAACTTTTATGGACTTTTCGATTTTCTTCTCTACCATCATCCTGAACTTTTTAAACACCTCAAACACTTTGAATTTCTCTTCTAAAAAATACACCCATGTCTTCCGAGAAAAATTGTCTATGAATGGGATAAAGTATTTCTTACCATTGAAGGGCCTTAGGGGTGAATGTCCACACAAGTCGATATGTATTAATCCAAGTTGGTTCCTTGCTTGGTACTCAGCTTCATTTTGAAAAACTTGTCCCTCAGATGTTTTCCGAGTATACATTCCCCCATAAAACTTCTTTGTCAAACTCCATACTCGACAATCCATGCACCAGCACTTTCTTGTTTAGTTAGGCAATCCTCCAAAATTCAATTGGCCAAAATGGAAATGTCACACCATGGCTTCATCTTTTACATCAATCTTCAAACACTTCTTATGTTGTATGTTCAACTTCAATTTATACATTATGTTCTTTTTCATCTCTACTTCAAAAATCAAGCGACTGAGTTTATCCTTCAAGTACATAATTGTGTCCTTTATCAGAACCGAGTTACCCTTCTCCATCATTTGGCTCATGCTCAATATATTACTTTTGAGATTGAGTACATAGTACATGTTTCTTATTTCTCCAACACGGACATCTTTCTGTATGTACCAGATTATTCCTCACCTTTTCACTGCTACCTTGGAATCATCTCCAAATGAAACATACTTGACATCCACTTTAAACTGAGCTCTCTGAATATATCTTCATCACCACACATATGGTTACTCACCCCTGTATCCAAATACCAAACTAAGTTGTTTGAACAACTCGATCTAAGCTCATCTTCCAAGCTCTAGCTCAATAGCTTGGTGTCCGAGCTCCTTAACGTCATCAAGATCCCTATTTTTTCATCGGTATCCTCAGTTAGCAAATTTGCCTCCTTTTTCTTTTTAGTCCACCAATACTCTGTTATGTGACAGACCTTACCATAATTATAACACTCTGCAAATCTATAATTATTTGCACAATGGTCATGCTTGTCACACTTAAAACATTCAACCACTACAAAAAAAATTGTTATTTAGTGGAGGTATTTTTTGTTTTTTCAATCTGCGAAGATTTTTAATACCCTCTGCAAAATGAAATGAGACGGTTTTTTTCAAACCCTCACAGTTTAAAGTCCCAAAATCGATTTCAGAGGTTTTTCACGACTCCTGGGTATTGGATGTATATTGTAGAGGTTTTGTGTGGAGGGTGTTCACCTCTTCTATTAATGACTATTAATTTGTGGGAGGTTTGAACCTCCTTTATTTATAATTATTCACCTACTTTCATAATTTCTTAATTTAATGAAATTTGTTTTTTATAATAAGCAATAAATAAAATATACAAAATTATAAACTACCCAAAAATTAATCAAAATTAATTTTACAATTACAATGTAAATAATAAAAAAAAGATATATAACGTTTAAAGAACATAATTGACTAAAATCTAATGATAGAAAACAACTAGACCAAGTGAAAATTATACCAAATAAAAACACAAACTAATATTGATGACCTCAACAAAGCTACTAGAAAATATATTCTTGTTTCAGTATCAACTTATTCGCTACTCGTCTTCCGATAAGCAATTCCAACAACACCACTCTAGCTATACACATTACTCTTGGTTGTAAGGTGACATGTGACAAGGCAATTATTCATCAGTTAGCTTTATCAAATATAAGTTTCTGTGACAAGGCAATGACATGTGATAACATAAAGGGAGTTTTAAGTTACAGTAATATGTTAGAGTGATGAAATTTTTATTGTGCCCTGCTTATTCAAGCATAGTGTGCCCTGCTCATTAAAGCACTAAAAAATCAGCCACCAAAAAACTGAACAAGAATAGAGGATGAAATTCTTATTGTGCCCGACTTATTCTTACCGTTAATTCTTTTAATTATCTAACTTTTTTTTTTTTTGTAGTATTTCGGCATCCTAAACATGCAATTGTCCTCCAAACACTTAGGCAAAACAAACAGAAACATATAGGACCAGTTTACATTCATTAACAACAATATGGAATTCTAAAACAACCCTTTTAATCTACCTAATATGCATTGCAACCCTTCAATTACCACAACAGACAACTCTCCAAACAATTACAAGTTCATAAATTCATCACACCAGATTGCATTGCAACAAAATAGTACATTGGCTAGGTATTGACAGATTAAACATCGTTCAAACACAACTAGGAGAATCTTATTCCCTGAGAAAGAAACAGAAGACACATTTTAATACGGATTAAATAGGTTTCTTCTTTACAATAAGCATAAGAGAGGCAGGATCGACAGTCCAGTCTTGTTGTAATATATCTAAATTATACAACCAAACATGTCAATAATAAGAAAGGGAGACTGCAGACAGACCAAGTACAAAGTATAATCAATATCAAATTTCAAAAGCTTCTAGGATAATGAAAATTACTTACAATGTGTAGCATCATCGTCGTCCATTCCCATAAGTAAAGTAGTGTCTTTAATGTTTATTCAACAATAAACATTAATTTTCTCTTTATTTCAATGTGCACTCACTCTCTTCTCGGTACTCCTTGGTACTACAACACATCCTTGCTTTCTTTATATTCTCGATTGTTTGTTTTTCTTTCATTCATATAGCTTCTCAATTTATAACATTGGTGGGCACAAGGGTACACGGGTAGTGGAAAGAATGAGGGTTATTGGAGAAACCATTTATTGAATGGAAGACCCATTATGGTTCATGGAGCTGACTGTCCATTAAATTTATTTTACAACTTACACCTGAGTACGAGTCTGCCAATGTCGTTGATCAATGGTCATAGCTTCATGTTGCCACAGGAGAGTAAGTCAACTTAATTTATTTGGTATTCTTAAATATGTGATTATTTTGACAATATATTTGTACACAGTTTTATACCAGCAAGAGGTCCTTCTACCATAATCTCACACATCATCAAGCAACAATTCGATAAATGGAGTCCCAGTTGGAAGAAAGTTTGTATTGAAGTTCGAGATAAATGGTTTGGAAAATTTAAGGTAATTTTAATGGTTTTTGACCGATTTTACTTATTTAGTGACCAATTTCGTCTGTGGCTAAAATGCTTTTTCTAGTAGTGATTTGCAATAAATATTAAAGTGTTACATTGCAAGGTTTGGGGACATAAGACCCTCTTGAGACGATAATGGATGCTGAGCTAGTTTCCTGGAAGAGATAGATGGCTTGTCATTGAGCAAACATCTCTTTCCAAACTGTAGACTTTTCTTTGCATAGAACCACAGCTTAGGTGATTTTGCTCTTTTGACAAACCGAAGCACCAAGAAAAGAACCACTCTGTGAACTAATAATAAGGTAGCCAATGCTGTTAAGTCCCACCATTTGTTATGATCCAATGGAACCCCAAGTATCGATGATAGAACTTTTTCTCCACTAACCTTTGCATCACTGGTAGCAAAGGATCGAACTCTACCCCCCAACTTCATTCTTGTATTCTCCTTTAGTACAAAACATCACAAGCTATTACAAAAAGCATAATGTTATATATGCTGTTTTATGTTCCTAGTAATAGTCCTTTGTTTTTATCTCTTGTTTTTTATCCAAAACACTTTACATTGTACCTGGCAACTGCCCAGAAGCAAAACTAAGGTAGGACATAGGATAGCGCCAAAAGAACTTTGGAAGCTCAGGTAATGTTCTGAATATTTGGGAGGGCATCATCATGAAGATCTGCAACCACCATGAAACAACTCCATCATCAAGTTTAACCTAAATGTTATTATCTCAGACTCAGACACTGAGAAATGGTATGCTTACAATTACAACCAGTTTCCTATTCCTAATGCCCATCAGCACATTGGGGACCAGTGAGGCTACAGCCATGATTGCAACACTCAACAACAGATAGGCAGCAGAATAAGTTGATACAGAAAAATGCATAATTAGTTAAACCCGGATGAAATTGCACCATGAAGTAAATGATTGTTCCGGAGGAAAAAGATGTTAGAACAAGGAAAGGGAATGATGATATGATGTTTGATACTACAAACACAGCCTCTCCATAATGCCCTTTGGACCTTTCACCATAGAACACCTGCTTTTTATTGTGATTAGATACAAAGCAGAATGTTAAGTATAAATCTTGTATCTTTGGGAAAATAAGAAAGAATCATATTATAAATTTTACCTTCAATTCTTCAATGAAAAATGGTAATCCTCCGCATGACAAACAAATCATGAATCCATAGATGAATGATACACACTTTGCTCTAGCCAAGATTGAGCTGTTTCCTGTGCCAATGTGAAAAAAGAGGGTTCCAATACTGATTCCTACCATTATGTAGAATATTATCCTCAGCCAGTAGTAACCAATGTCCCTAGTCATGTTTAAGAAAGATCGCTTGGTCAATGTACACAATTGTTTCCTCCACGTGGTAGTGCTACCTGTGTAGTGCTTAATTCCTTGTTCTTCCTACAGTGTTGAAAACAATAGAGATAAGTCTAAGTTAAATACTATATAAGAAAAAAAGTCTCATAATCTAATGTCTTTCGATGTTTTGAGATTTTGAGTTAAAAGTAGTGTCAATGGATTAGAATGAAATCATATATATAATCTCTTCCGTAATGAACCCTTATATGAAATAGACCCATCAATTTTTGCATCTCTCACTAAGGAATAGAACAATTTGTTTAATAGAAGCAGGAAAAGAAAATGGAAATTCAGTGCTTTCTTTTAAAATGAACCGTTGATCAAAATAGATTGATGAATTTTTTGATTGGATTCATTCTCCAAAAGGGTGTCTAACTCAGGATTCAGAAAGAAACATAATTTATCTGTGATTAATCTTAAGTGTGAGTAATCGGCAAACACTAAAACTGTTTTCAGATGCAGGTAAATACTAGATAACAGCGGATAGGAATCTGTACTAATAGAGAACTAAGGGTATCAGTGATGAACACTGACTAACGATAATTTACATTGTGTTTCAGTTGTTGAACTTTACTTCTTGCATTGAGCATTAGCTTTGAGCTTTTGTAAGTCTCAATCAGTGTCCTTCTGATCTCTGATTTTCTCATTTCCATTGTTGACTTCGATGATGCCTATTAATGAGGGAATTAAAATTCACATTCAAAAGCAATTGTTAATTGATTAAAGAGAAAAACTGAAAAACCAAGACTGCAAAATCTAATGCATACCAAACATAATTGAGTCCTCTCTAGTACTTCAGTAATCAAATCAAAGTCCAAATTAGTACACATCAGGAATGATCTGAGGATTTCTCTAGTAGGACAGGGAAACCTGCATCGGCAAAAAACTATTCCCATTCTAATTAGAGACACAAAATTTCAATTACTCGTATTAGACTCCAACTTTCCTGTGCAATAAAAATGTTTACCTTTAGAGCATTCTTTGCTTGTCCAAAATAAACATTTTCTCCACTTTGAAAAGCCAAAGCAAGTCATCAAATGATAAAAAATCTCACTACTGGGTTTGGTGAATGGAGCATATAACTATCTTTTCTTTGTGAGCAATGTGGCATAGTGCTTGAATTACATAGAAAGCTGAGGACTATCAAGGCCAGTTGTAGTTCAATCAAGAAGTAATACATGGGTTTGTGTTAAAATTTCAAGGCCAATGCTAAGCTCTCTTCTTTTCACCATACTAATACCCCTACCAATGCCAATTCCCAATCCTTGTATCTGCACAATCTTCCAGACCCATTTCCATTATGGTTTCTTCCACCACTTTATTTATCTCTTCTTTGGTCATTTTGGAAGGAAGTCTCATGTTTGCAGAGAATGTAAGAGTCTCTTTTACAGTCAAAGTTCCCAAGAAAAGTTCCTCCTGAGCTACGTAGGACTGAAAATTGAAGAAATATAGATGCATATTTTAGAGCAGCCCAAGTGAAAAGATAAAGCTATGCATGATCTGATTATCTTACCACATCTCTGGAATTCAAGTTTTTCTTCCCATTGATTAGAATGTTCCCGGTCATTACAACATTTGGAGCAAGTTTTCCTGTACAAAAATGTCAACACTTGTTGTCTCTCACCAATAACACTAGTAAAAGACACCACACAATGTCATAGTTGATAACATTTGTTTCTACACAGACCATTATTAACAGTCCTCAAATTGAAACTTATCTAAAGGAAAAGGGATTACATGATTAGCTTCAGTATCTCTATTTAATGCACTATTTCACAATATATTTCTACTTTTACACATGATAGGAAGAAGAAAGAAAGTGGTCATTCTATTATTCAGAAGTGGTTTCTTAAAAAGACGTGAACAGCAAACTAATGTAAATGGAAACTACATAATATAACTAATTAAATATGGATTGTAAACTCCATGTTTTTTGGTCAAAATAAAAGTGTTAGGAAAAATATGTTTCTCTGCAATGTTCATGTAATTAAATATTGTTTTTGCTTATTAAAATATAGTTGTTGTTTTTTTCTAAATAACTTTTTTTTATCCTGTAAAATTTCTTTTTCTTATTTTGGTTTTTGTTATTTTGTTTTCATTCATTGATTTTTTTTTTTATATCTTGTGAAAAAAATGTTGTCTTTTAATTTTAATCAAATATATTTTGATAAACTAATCTCAAATGAACAAAATTTTATAGGGATTAATATATATATATATATATATATATATATCACATTTGTTGGAATATTCAACTGTGAGTGTAAGTCTAGTTAAGCTAACAACGATTATCTCTTATTTATTTCTGTCGTTCATTATAATATGAATATATATCTATATATAATATATACACACACACATATTATCTCTGACAAAAAAAATAAGAACAGTCACTAAATATATCTAGTGGTATATTCACCCTCTCAACTTACATATTTAGTATAAAGTATGCAAATATCGTTGGTGCAACAGGCATCATAGGTCATAAATATAAGACAACAGATAAAAAGGTGTTGAGTTTGAGAATGGAGATGTTATGAAAGTAACTTCTAATAGCATATATAGAGAAAGAGAGAAAGAGAGAGACCAGTCAAAGAGTCAAGAAAGGTGGTTTTTCCGCAGCCAGAAGGACCCATGACAGCCATAACCCTAGCTGGTTCGGCAAAGCCTGTTATTCCACTAAGCAACAACTTCTTTCTCTGTGCTCCAAAACTTGAAGGTCGTTCAACAGTTACATCTTCCCACATCATCATCACCATAGTTTTGATCTCTTCTTATCTCTCTCCCTCTTCTCTTATCTCACTTCTCTCCTACCACTGTCTTTACTCTGCACTCTATCTGATATTCTATATATTGTAAACAATAAGTCTTTTACTTTTAGAATAACAATATTTGAAAACATTTTTGTATAATATTTTAATACTGTCATAATTGGATTGGGTTATATTAATGTTTATAATTATTATTTTTGACTGTAAAATAATTTTAGACTAATAAAAAGTGAAACATAAATAATATTAAAATATTATAAAAAATATTGTGAAAATATGATTGTCCTCGTACCTTTTCCTCTTACAAAATAAGATTAAACCGGTATCTGGTTTAGAATATTTATTATAACATAAGATATAATTTATGATTAATAAATGAGTGTGGGTCAGAACGTACATGTCCAATTGCCAAAATGGTTCGTCTTTATTGGTTGTCAGGTTATTTAAGAGCGTCTCTCTACCATGCAGGGTGCAATTATTTTCTAGCTATCACCTTCCGGTCAACCACCTATGACTAGCCAGTCAATTACAAAGTACGTAGTAGTTACAATATAGAGGTCAATTAATAGATATAGATACGACGAAAAATCATTAATTTGTACTGTTATGAAAAGTTTAGAAGGTCATCTAACATATCGAACAAAGGTCATTTAACAAGAACGACGGTCATCAGTCTGGATGGTCACTTATCATATCAAATGACCAGCCATTAATTCAAACAATCATTTAACAAATCGGATGATAAATCATCAATTCGAACGACTAACTAACAAATTACACGATAGTCATTAGTCTCAACAATCAACTAACAAATTAGACTGTAAGTCATAAACTTGGCCAGACAAGTAATAGATCGGATAACCAAATATCAAGTTGAATGATCAACTAATCAATAATCCGACGATAGTGAGACAACAAATCAAACATCGGATCACCAAAATAGACGGTCTATAGGACCAAAGTAGATAAACTCTAAAAGAGTTTTATTTTGAGTTAAAATATGAATAGTCATGTTTGAACCATAATTAAGTCAATTTTAATAAAAAATCTATCCAAAATATATAAAAAAGTGTTTGAGGTAAGAAGATATGTCAGCTATTAAATATAGAATTTATTATTATTTTTTATCTAAGTTAATTTAACTTTAACATCAAAGTATCTTATGCTAGTACACTATTTGAGTAGTCTGGATGTACAAGCAGCTCCTAAGACCAGACAAGACTTGAACTTGTGAGTCAATATTTGGAGACTGAATACTTGGATCTAAAGACTTGACTCCACACACTAGTGCAAAAATAGTGTATGACATTACGCGTTCAACGTCCAACCACAGAATAGCCAACGTTAAAAATGATCGGTGATATTTTTGTAAATAAATGCAATTATTAAACGTCGTTTAGAATTGTAATTCGACGTAAAAGAATATAAAACATCGAATACCCAACGTTAGACATCAAAAGGTTAGTGAATTCAATAAAAAATTGAGCAGAAGATTGAAAATTTATTCACGCGAAAATTGAGCAGAAGATTGAAAATTGAGCATTCTGCTTTCTCTCTCATGGGTGACGACACTTTATTCCGACGAAGGTTAATTTCCGTTTTAGTTTTGAAGAACTTATTTGCTGAACTTGTTTGTTGTTTTTTGTTGAACTTGTTTGTTATTGTTGTTTGGTTGAACTTGTTTGTTATTGTTATTTGATTGAACTTGTTTGTTGTTGGTTATTGTTATTTATTATTGATACTACACTACACGTTCATAGTTCATGCTTTATAAAATACCAAAAACTCAAATTTGTTATTTTTCTGTTTTTCAAGTCTCATAGAGTTGTAAAAAAGGATCACTATTAATTTTCTTATTTTTACTTAATATAAAGTTTCTATTCTACGTTAGATTTAAACATTATTTAAATTTCTAGTATTAACGTAAAGTTTACACTCATTTATATATTATAATTTAATTATATCTCTAGTTAAGATATCCAACCTATTTCCTTATGCCAAGAACATTGACATTCACATCTAGATTCAGATCTAGAACATCAAGTATGAGATCCAAAGAGTGTCCCATAATGAAAAACATGATTCATCCAACTAATATCAACAAAAATATATTAAAGTAATAAAATTTAATTCATTTTCATTGATATATATATATATATATATATATATATATATATATCTAAAATATATGTAATTTAATCTTATAAAATTAACTCAAAATAATATTTCTATCCATAACTTTAAATTCGTCTAATCAATATGAAATCTCTCACTATCAAATTATAAATTATAGCACATAATCTTTTATATAGACCAGTGCTAAATTATAAATTATAGCACACATAATAGACAAGTGAAACCCTAAAAGGGAATAGAAGCAATTCAGAGCAATCATTTTTCTGTTTTTTCTTTTCTTTTTCCATCCATTTCTACACTATTAAAATCATTCAAATATAACAACATAGCAGCTCAATTATTAGAATCATACAATGAGTTTTTACTTTAATCCATAATTACTAAGATAAATTACTAACACTTATTCGGGCTCTTGTTGATAGGTGTTGCTTTAAAGATTGCAAAGGTTACTGCTTCTTATTAATTTTGTAGGTATGGCATATCATTGAATAAAAAGAAGTAAAATACAAATGTATTATCTATTTCTTATCTATTCTATTTCATTTTTAAAATTTGACCAACTAGTGAAATATTATATTAATTTGATAATATAATATTTCTTACACGTGATTTTTTTTTATTTCTTTTGCAAAAGTATTTTTGTATGATAATTTTTGTAATATAAAATTTTGAATGGTTATATTTTGTCTTCTTTTTAAGTTCTTACATTCTAACTAATTTATTTTTATATTTATTTAAGTTTTTGTATGAAAATTCTTTTTAGGAATATAAAACTAAATCTTATTACATTTTGTATAACTAATTTTTAAGTGTAACTTATATTCATTATATATTTCTTTTATAATAATCACATTTCTTAAAATTTTACTTTTGATTCAATTTTGATGATTTAATAATTTGGAAGAAGAA